CTGATGGGGTGGAACTACCAGCAGGCCACATAGCAGACATACAGACCAGCTACAAGTACCTGGTATCCCACAGTCACGTGGGAACCACAAGGAGGAGGATGTTGTGATCAGATAATTTAAGAGGTTGTAGGGACTGGCTGAAAGCTTTTTGACCCAAGAAAACATGAGAGCAGATTGCATCCACCTTTCCATACATGCCACATGTAGATAGTATTAAATGTCATGATTCTTACTTCAGATTGAACATTTGTTAAATTGTGCTATGAGGCTGCAGTGCCATTCAATGTTTATTGGCATGCGGGGGTTATACTGAGAAAGTACCAATTATTTATCCATAGGATTGGTTGGTTGATTAATTAATTATTTTTCCTTTTTGGTTTCAGAATCATAACTATGGATGCTATACAAACTGCAAATACGGCTTTTGCGGTTGATCTGTTCAAAAAACTGTGTGAAATGGACAAAACTGCTAATGTTATTTTTGCTCCACTTTGTACATCAACTTCTCTTGCTCTAGCATATAAAGCAGCTAAGGGTGACACAGCAACCCAAATGAAACAGGTAGGATGTTTACTTTTAACATAACTTTATGTTTTATATACAACTTTGTTGTATATAAAAAGTCTATTTTTCATTGCTACGTAGATGATGATTGACCATTATATAAATTCAAGTATCGTTGCGTGCTTCCATTAAACAGCACAGGTAGAAACAATCTTGGCTTGGTTTAGCAGCCAAGGTTCTCAGACATAACGCAGGAAATAAACAGACTAAAACTTAAGATGAAACCAAGACAGAGAGCATTGCCACGTATTTGGTGTTAAAAAAGAGGTTTACAGAACCTGAAAGGTGCCTTAAATATTTCCTATTGTTTGTAACTTTTTGTTGTTCTTGCTGTCTCCTCTTAGTGTTGCCACTTTGGTAGGGCTGTATTTGCACAATGATATAACAGTGTGTGGGCTGACATTTCGGCATTGTGGTTTGCTGTGGATGCCACCGGTACTTGGTTTCCGTTATCTAAGGCTAAATCTAGAACTAATTTGTAACAGTTATATCTTGATACCACATAGTTGATTAGGAAATATTAAGGAAAGCCACTTGGACCATGTAAAATGGTATGCCTAGAAGTAGTCACACTTTTCTTAGAGTAGACTACGGAAATAAAATTGTGGATCTCCTGTCATACGTGTATTTTCGTGGTTCAAGAGGATGCAGTTCTCACACTTTTACTTAGGACTCTAGCCTTAAATTTTGTTTGATTAATCTGTTAATTAAAGCCATCAATAATTGCAATCCTGATTTTTTGTAACGAATTCCCATAAAATCTATAGTATTTTACTAGGATAGCAACCTTCTGGGTTGCTAATCTCTGCATATGGCAGAGAAGGTAAAGGAAGTCTTGCTAGTAACATACTGAGGCAAACAGTTCGAACTGCATATACCTTGATGGAGCTGAATTAATAATAATTGACCAGGAAAGGAATCTTGGGATTATGGATAAGTAACCTGATGAATATCTTGATGCAATGTCATGTTAGGAATCATAAGAAAAGGGTTAAAAATAAATGTGCCAAAATAATACCTTTATTCAGATCTAAGGTGAAACCACTCTTTTTTTTTTTTTATCACTTCAATTCTAGAAGTTGTTGGGTTCCATTATTTATTTTATGTATGTTCCTACCTTTTTTCCTGCCTTTACTCTGTTCTGCACTGCCCAGACTCCTAGTGACTGGGTGCAGGATATGAAAACTGTAAATAAAAGAAGGAGGGAAATTGCACATCTAGAAAATGTGGGGGAAATCACAGCTCAAATAATAGGGAAGTTTTCTCCAGCCTTCTGTGAGGAAAGATAATAATATTTAGCCTGGTTAAGTTTAGAAGAGGAAGGAGCATGATAGATAAGAATATAAAAGTGATTATAGCATTTTTCCTCACTTTCTTTCCCATTCCCAGGATCTATGGTCATCCAGTGAAGCTGAAGCGTGGGAAATCCATGACAGACAGAAATAAGCACTTTTCACCTAAAACTTCATAAAATTGCTTAGAATTTACTGTTGAAAATTTGCTATATTGTTGGCTACCAATTTAGTTGGCTTTAAAAGGAGAGAAGACACATACAGGGAGACTACCAGCTATGATGGCTATATATTCTCTTCTGGATTAGAGGCTATTTGTAGGTACAAGTTGCTGATGAAGGCTTCACTCTTCATGTCCTACCTGCATGCTTCTGAGTGGCCTCTGCTTGACCGCATGAGAAATAAAAAGCTGGACAAAGTATCAGATCGAAAAGAACTCTTATGTTTCATCTGATTGTGTTGAAACACTATGGGAGAAATCTTTACTGAAATCAACAGTTAAACTGATATTTGTTTGTTAACAGGGACTCCATCTAGAAGATGTCAAAGATATTCCATTTGGATTCCAGACAATAACATCCGATACTTCCAAACTTAGCTCATTTTACTCATTAAAAATGATTAAGCGGCTCTATGTAGAAAAATCTCTTAATCCTACAACGGTAAGTTAGGAAGAAATAATAGCAATTTCTCTCTGTCCCAGCTGGTTGACAGTTATAGTCTAAATCCATAATTATTAATTACATTATGTTCATGGTTGCTTTACTAAAGTTTAAATTTTATGATATTTTAAGATAAATGTACAATATTAAGACTTATATTAAGTCTTGTATTTATATTGTTGTAATATAATATAATATTGTTCAGCTGTGGTTTTTTATACAATTTTAATATAAATATCACAGTATGTTTCATTTAGAGATAGATGCTCAATCAAAATTTCTACAGTTAGATATTTCCCTTCATGTTCATGATTTAAAGAGAACTACAGTAGACTATTAGATCAATTATTTATCTGAACTTTAATTAAAGAACAGTTTCTTCAAATACTGATATCAGTAAAGCTGATAAAGATCTGAGAGTTTCATCCATGGAAATTGTTCTTGCTGATAGCAAACATGATGCATGAAATTGCAGCCCAATTTAGAATTTCTGCAGGATTTTAATTACGTTTTGTGTTTTTAATGAAAATAATTGAGATTCAGTTGTCATACATTGGGTTGTACCAAATACTGTCCTTCTGTTAACAAAAGGTGCTATGAAAAGCTTCAGGCAGTAGAATGAAAAAGGGAGGGTTATTTTGTTTATTTATTTTTCCCAGTTTGATCTTCCATTGAAGTCCCTACCACCTCCCAAGGAAAAGATCTTCCAAAGAATTTTGAGAGAATCCAGGGGGCTGGGGGGAGTCTGAAAATTGATTTTCTCCTTTTCTGCTGCCAGAGGTCTCCAAAGAAATTTCTCCTGAAGAATATCAGCTGGAAGCACACCTGTACTTTTAAATTTCATGTTTATTTAATGTTAACTTACACATTTCCCCCTTTATCTTCATTTTTATATGCTAACTGAGGAATATTTAAAGTTGATCTTCACTTATTTGAAGCATATGTCACAATAAATATTTATTTGACTTTAATGTGCTGGTGTTATAGAATTTTGAAGCAGCTCATCTTAAGTCCGAGTATTATTAATTGATATGCTACTTTTACTGATATGGAGATCATTTATTAATGTATAATGTATAATTTTGATCAAAATGATTTCTAATTATACAGCTTTAAAATAGGAGTTGCATTATGTTTTCTATGGTTGAAAAACATTTCAGTTCTTCACTTTGCTCCCTTAATATTACTTCCTTTCATATTTAATCATGGAGAAAATCCTAGCCCATTGAAGTTCATTACAGTGTAACCTACAGTATATGCTCTAGATTAAGCTATTTATAACCAATTTAATTTAATTTCAATTCACTATAAAAGCAGTTGGTGCAGATTTGTAAATGGACATTTGCTCTGAAATGTACAAGAGCAAGAGTCATCAACATTTTGGGCCTCCTGACATATTGGCTTTGGTTCATGGAAATACAAAAGCATAAATAATCATATATTATAAAATGTGCAGGTTTGGCTTAGAGGTTGCCAGCTGGCCCCAGACCTGTTTGCCTGATGGTTTCCAGTCCTCCTTTACTAGTGTGTGTGGAATCCCAGTCAAAGCCCCTATCCAGTCGTCTTTCAGGTTTAAAATTGCCACATACATGGGTGTTATAATTTTGCCCTTGGCAACAACACCTTTGATCTTCATGTTACTAGTGGGGAACTAAGTCTTAATCTGGGGCCTTCTCTCTTTCAGGAATTTATCAGTTCGGTCAAAAGACCCTTCCCATCAGAATTTGAAGTAGTAGATTTTAAAGACAAGGCAGAAGACACCAGGCTGCAAATCAACAAATCTGTTTCCGATCTTACTGATGGCAAGTGCATTCTTTATCAAGTGATCTCATTTAAGTTGTAAATTGTGATGTCCTTGAATCAGGGATTATGTCTTCAGAAACAGATAGAGTTCATCATACTACATGTTTGCTTAATTATGGTTTCTGTACTAATAATACTACCATTATACCAATAATAATAAGTTTCAATATATTTTATTTTTAAAATGAAAGTCAGTACCCCCCTGGAAAGGTTAGGCTTTTTTAAAAATACTTTTCATTGGTATTCAATAAATGAGCTATCAGCAATCTGAAAGCCTTTCAGTATAATTAAACCAAGATCTTTTGGCACTCAGTGCATATAATAGACAAACAGAAAAACATACTATAATACTTTTTTCAAAGGTAAGGAGGAACTGTGTATGCGTTTAGTGCCAAAAATAGATTCTTCCTCACTTGTCCCTAACCAAGGAATGAAAATCCCCAGTAATTTTTTTTTCTGCCTATGACATTGCCTTCATCTCATCCTCAGCCCATTCCTGAGGCAGTTTAAAGTCATCCTCAGCTATTCTAATTTTAAAGTTGTCTTTTTCCTCTTTTCCTGAAGCAATTTTTGCCAAAGATGTAATTTGGTAATGCTTCACTGACCATGTGCTTGCTGATGGAATCAAGAATTGTGAACTGCCCAACTCCTGTTGGTCACTTTAGGGTTCTGTAGGCACACCCTTTCCTTCCAGTCATTGCATTCTGCCTTTCATGGGGATTTTGGCTTGGACTGTACAGAGGCATCTGTCTGTGTAATGCATCCTAGGGCATACCATAGGACTAGTTAGGTCTTATGCAGTCTCCCTGTAAACATGGGCTTAGCATGTGTTTGAAAGAGCAATATGCTGTGCTACATAGAAGATCATTTAAACCCAGAAAGAGAGCTGAGTTCTTCCAGCTGTGTGTTGCTAGCTGTGTCATGATTGCTTGTGGTATGGATTTTCTGCTGCTTCTGCAGACAAGGGGTTTCATGTAGTTAACTTTTTACTGTTTTTTATTATTTTTATTACATTTGGGGACATGTACAAAGGCACTATAACTACTACTCTCACTGGGTAATGCTCTGAGAAGCCTTATGCAGCTGCAGTTTCTGTGGTGGTTTGTGCAATGTACCATAGTTACTTAGGTCTTATCATCCTCCACTGAGTACAGTAGCTTTATAGCATCTTCATTATCTCAGTCCTTTGTGTGTATCCAACCTGCATGTGAACATACGTATAAAACTTCCTTAAGCTGATGGACAGGTAGGATTAGAACCAATTGGACAATTTAACAAGAATCTAAGAACTTCTGATGTATTATTTATTGAAAAAGAGTTAGAAAGCCATAATGAAAGAATTCTAATGAGTGTTGGGTTTCAAGAGCAAGGCATATTTATACCATCAATATGAAAACTTTTTCGGCTCCTTCTCTTGCCTACTCTATGTAAGGGGCTACTCAATCCCTTCTTTTGGGCAGAAGACCCAGCTTCCATCTGTCACTTGTATGGTAATGGCTAGAAGTGACATCAAGTTGTTTTCCTCTGGCCATGTAAAAATTAGCTCTCATGCCTACTAGGCATGATTTTAGATTTGCACAGAAAGCAAACTGAGGTTTCCACTGTTCAGCTGATGGTATTGCTGGGTCAACTGCTTAACAGAGGCTCAATCTGCTTCCCAAGCAGATTTAAAGCCATGCCTGATAATGTCCTAATGAGACCATTGGTTCATTTCAACCAATATTATCTACTTTTAATGACAGAAACTGAGAGTTTTGGATTGAATTTGGGGCTCTCTTGTAGAGCAGATGTTCTAAGTATTATGTATGGGCAGGAGAGAAGATTGTAAGAAAATGTAATTTTTTTGTTTAACCAATGCTACATTTTAATTTTCCATAGACTGGTGTCCTCCAGTTGTACTGGACTAAAATTCCTATCTTTGCTATGCAGGCTGGATGCAGGAAACTGCCAGTCCAACACAACTGAATAACATCAGATTGGCCTTTTTCTTAAAGCAAAAACTGAGTGATTCCATAGTAGTATTGTTTATTTCACAATAACTAAACGCCTCTTCTAAAATCTAAACTCTTCTGGAGATACAGTATCCTGAATACCCTTTTCCTAGAAAATATGACTTTGACTGGTTCTTGCCCTGTATCTGTTGTAACACCTCTAATGAAGTATTCTTACCCATGTATCTGTAGGTAAAATGGAGAATGTTTTAATTGAGGAGAGTGTCAATGACCAGACCAAGATCATCCTGATAAATGCAGCCTATTTTATAACAAACTGGATGAAGATGTTTCCTGAGGGGCAAACCAAGGAATGTCCATTCAGAATAAGCAAGGTACAGGAAGAAGCAACCTGAAGCTTTTAACACAAAAATTAAATGATACAGGAAAGCCTCCAGTTTATTTCTGAGTTTTAAACCAGCCTTTAGTTCCATTCACACAATCCAAAATCAGCTGTAATGAGTGATTGTATCACTAATGACCCAAACTGTCAATGTGTCATAATGGTTCACTTATGGTCTGTCCCTCCAAAAACCATACGACATGTTTAGAAGACATCAGAATGTTTCTTTTGCAGTTAAAACTGATAGGCCGTAAGATGGTAAAAATACAATATGACATTAGCACATTAGTGAAAGCAAGAAGTTTTGGGGACAGTTCCAGATGGGTTATATTTTCTTTATAAAGTTTAGCCACTCTTTGTCACCATTTTGATTAATGGTTCCTCATCACCTTTCATCTCTCTTTGGCTCCTTTTGTTTGTAGCAAATTCATTCCTTAATCTAGGCCAGGATTTCAAATGGGTTAAAATACATGGTAATCCATGCTAGAATTTGTACAGTATTGTCTATTCTTGCTATGAATCTAGATTCTTATACCAGTTCTAGGCTAACAAATGCAACACTGGATCTCATAAAATAAGATGCTGAAATTAATGTTCTCATGTGCATGACTGTAAAGAAGCAAATACAATTTTGTTAATCACATTTCTTAAAACATTTATTTATTTATTTTTAATAATCCAGTGGAAGGACCGCATTTCTTCAAAACATTAACTTTTATTTTATAGTATACACATTTGCCTTCAACTGTGTAATAATTTAACAATGTAAGATTTGAGTTCTCTTCTCCATGCGTTTTTTCAATGTATGAAGGTAAAAGCATATATAATCAGGAATTTTGACCACAACTGGTATTTAAGTGAACTTTTAATTTCTGTTTTTCCTTACTAGACGGAAACCAAACCTGTGCAGATGATGAACCTGGAAGCTACATTATGCTTGGGCTACATAAACGATTTAAAAACCAAAATTCTGGAACTCCCATGTCATAATAAACATATAAGCATGCTTATCTTACTACCTAAAGATATAGAGGATGATACAACTGGATTGGAGCAGGTAGAAATAAGTATTTGGATAAATATTAAAGAATTCTTTGGAGAGATGTGCATCAATCTCTTCCTTGAACGTTTCAAAATAGTCTGATTAGAAAGGAATGAGAAATAGATTTATATCCTAATGTGTCTTGTAGCCATATGTTTAGTTCACTGAATACTGTAGGGCCATATCCCTTAGACCCCACATTAACAAAAAGAAACAGGACTCATTAGCTGAAATCACAACAGCTAGTAACATTCCAGCAGTGATATTACAATCGCATTAATGCAATTCGCAACAGTCCTCAGGCAAAAACATAATATCACAGTAGATCACAAAACTCTTGCATTGTGTTGATGAAGGCGTGGCCACTATAGATCTGGCCCAAATTAATTATGACCTAAATAAACTCCTTCATCTATGATCAGTGATTTGCCGACTGCTTGACAAATTCCACTTCAGCTTTCTGCGTATGACTGATGAGATGCAGTGCAATGCAATATCCAATTAGAGCTGATACTCTAATTCACCTACTGTTTTTCTTATATCTTTAGCTTGAGAAGGAGCTCACCCCTGAGAAGCTGGTACAGTGGACCAATCCTAGCGTGATGGCCAACAGTAAAGTTAATGTATTTCTCCCCAAATTCAAAGCGGAAAGTGAATATGACTTCAAACCAATTTTAGAAAGCCTTGGTATGACTCACATGTTTGATGAGGATGCATCAGATTTCTCTGAAATGTCAGAGTCCAAAGGCACTGTTCTTTCCAAGGTCATTCACAAAGTCTCTCTGGAAGTAACTGAAGAAGGAGCAGAGTCTCGAGATATTCCTGGATACCGGATCCTCCAACACAAAGATGAATTTAATGCTGATCATCCTTTTCTTTACTTGTTTAAGCACAACAAAACTCGCAGTATTGTATTTGCTGGTAGGTTCTGTTCTCCTTAAACAGAATAGCTCATAACAACAAAAACAAACAAACAACCCCCCCCACCAAACCTGTTACCACCATTTATGACCTATTCAAAAGTAATCTAAGCAAGTTCCCCTGTTAATGAAGTTGTATAACTTCCCATTCAAGTGAATTTACAAAGGAGTGGCCATATTATTAGTTGTAGCAAAAATAAGTATAGGGACATCTAAAAGACTGAAAAAAATCATTATGGCATATCCTTTAGTGAACCGTAGTTGATTTCATCAATAGATACTATATACCTATAGATGGGAAGAAGGTTTCTTGTTTACACATGGAGTAAACTTCAGAACAAATTCAGCAAAATGTATCTTTCATATGCAGCAATAAAACAATATGTGAAGTTGTATTATGTCTGAAAAATACTGCAGTTCTTTTTATGCTCACTGGCAATATTAAATTTCAACTTTATTGAAATGTTTGACTAGGGCACAGCTCATATGAGTTTCTGCAGATCTTAAAAAAACCCCTGAACTTAAATAACTAATTTGTTACCTGAAGATCAGAAATTTTATATTTGTCTGGACTTCATTACACTAATCACAGTTAATATGGATTTTTTTCTTAGTCAAATTAGTTTAACACTATGTAACATTTTCTTTTGGCTGTTTATTATTCTTTTGGTGGTTATTAATTTAGATTATCTTAATTTGTTCCAAATAAAGCATTGCAAAAACTGAGTATATTTTCTCATTGCTGAAGTTAAAAGTGAGAAACAAAACTACACCTCCTGCATCATTTAAAATCTGACTTCATATATCAGAGATAATACACATTAATTAATGCCATTACTTAATGCTGTTACATGGGAACCATACACTATTTTAGACCTGAAAAAGGGAATGAGCTTCAGTTCCAGATTTGGATTTCTTGATGGGCATTTATGATTTTATGTCTCTTCTATATTAGTTTTGAAACAGATGCTGATTCATATATTTTAGGAAGGTATTTGGGAAAAGAAATCTATTCTCTGGGAGAGTGATTAAGAAATGTTAGCTAAATGTTGGAGAATGTCAGATCTGCCAAATGTTACTGAACACACCTCCCAATAGCCTTTTTGAACCTAGCTGATGATAAGGCATGCCACAAGCTATATATCAGTAATACCTGGTGGGCTACAGTTTCTCCAGTCCTGCCTTACGATGTAAGTGGAGAGGTCAGTCTGTGAGTAGGGGCAACCTTACTATACTAACACTGACTTACAGTGTTCCATGGTGGTAGGTGTGCTGTGGTGGGAGGGAATGAGCTAATCTAGATTTATGTTGGAGAAAATCGGATTTCCATGGTACATGTCTGCCCTGAATGCTAAACTAGCCCTGGAGCTGGTGTAGTTGGTTCCCTTCCATTGATATGATATTGGAAAAAAATATTGCAAGGCTTACCTGCTATAAATTAGGAGGACTTAGAATGGAATAGTGATGGCTCCCTGCACTCTACAACTCTATTATTTGGCTAAATAATTGTATGAAATGAAACAGAAACACTAATAATGAGCTGATAACAAATCCCAGGCCCTGTTTCAGGTGTCCTACCTGGTGAAGTGTACTGAATGGCTACTTGGCAATGGCCCTTGTCCATGGTACCCCCTGTCTCTGGAATGCCCCACCCCAATGACATATCACTTACATTACAAGTGAGTTCCATGCGTGTCTGAATTGGCTCCTATCTTTAGCCACCTTCTAGCAAGCACCCATTTTATTGTCCTTTGTGCCAGGCAAAGATGTTTTTATTCTCCAATTGTTTTAAAAAAATGTTGATTTTTAACACACTGCTTTAAAAAAAACAAAACAGGCTGCTGGTGGTATTGTTTCAATGTTTTAATTTGAATATTTTAATCAATTTATTTTATATTTCAGTTGCTTTGGAATTTTGTGTGATTTGAATCTGTTGTAAGCCACACAAAGAGGACGTAGACTTGAGGTGTGACATAGATTTTAAGTAAACAGGTAAAAAAAAAATGGACAAAAATAAAAACATGCACAGTCCGAGTCTCAGCAGTCATTTCCATTGCTGAGATGGAGGAAAAAAGCAGAAGACAGTTTGCATCTACCAAACCAATTATCATTTCATGTTGCTTGGTTGTGACACAATGGTGTCATGTAATTCTGTGTTTTGTGTATAGATAGTCCTTGTTAGTGACTGCCTCATTTAGTGACCATTCGCAGTTATGACAATCAAGAAGTAACTTTGTGGCTTTTTATGACCTTTGCAGGTCTGTAAAGCAAAGGAAAGCTGAAATAAGATTGTTAAATTGTTGGTTATATGCTATTTGTTTGATATATACTGTATTTGTTTTTATAATTTCATGGATCCCATCTTGGGATCCCATGTGTTTGAATCTGTTGTAAGCCACACAAAGAGGACGTAGACTTGAGGTGTGACATAGATTTTGAATCTGTTGTAAGCCACACAAAGAGGACGTAGACTTGAGGTGTGACATAGATCTTGTTAGTGACTGTCTCATTTAGTGACCATTCGCAGTTATGACAATCAAGAAGTAACTTTGTGGCTTTTTATGACCTTTGCAGGTCTGTAAAGCAAAGGAAAGCTGAAATAAGATTGTTAAATTGTTGGTTATATGCTATTTGTTTGATATATACTGTATTTGTTTTTATAATTTCATGGATCCCATCTTGGGATCCCATGTGCTTGTTAGTGACTGTCTCATTTAGTGACCATTCGCAGTTATGACAATCAAGAAGTAACTTTGTGGCTTTTTATGACCTTTGCAGGTCTGTAAAGCAAAGGAAAGCTGAAATAAGATTGTTAAATTGTTGGTTATATGCTATTTGTTTGATATATACTGTATTTGTTTTTATAATTTCATGGATCCCATCTTGGGATCCCATGTGCTTGTTAGTGACTGTCTCATTTAGTGACCATTCGCAGTTATGACAATCAAGAAGTAACTTTGTGGCTTTTTATGACCTTTGCAGGTCTGTAAAGCAAAGGAAAGCTGAAATAAGATTGTTAAATTGTTGGTTATATGCTATTTGTTTGATATATACTGTATTTGTTTTTATAATTTCATGGATCCCATCTTGGGATCCCATGTGCTTGTTAGTGACTGTCTCATTTAGTGACCATTCGCAGTTATGACAATCAAGAAGTAACTTTGTGGCTTTTTATGACCTTTGCAGGTCTGTAAAGCAAAGGAAAGCTGAAATAAGATTGTTAAATTGTTGGTTATATGCTATTTGTTTGATATATACTGTATTTGTTTTTATAATTTCATGGATCCCATCTTGGGATCCCATGTGGGTGAAGGAGTAGTTGGGAGTAAAATAATATTTACGCTTGGAGAAGTGGGATACTAACATGTGTGTGTGGGGGGTCTATGTGTGGGTATATAGATATACATCCACACCCACACATCTCTATATATTCATAACAGGTAAACATGGGTGAAAGTGTAAACATTTACCACCTATTACTGTCATTTTTTTAAAAAAAATCTGGATTTGAGTC